TGCTAGGTTAATTGTGATATGTGCAAACGTGGCGGACACTTCAACGAACCCAAATTGCAAGGCTTACGATTTTCGGAAATTGTTCGCATTTATTTTTCGGAATGTTGTTGAAATAATAATACGAATCTTCATTGTGAGCATCAATCCATCGAGAATGTTACCTCAACAACTGATTGGCTGTCACTTTCTTCCGTTCATTCGTTTTTTGTTTTTATTTATTTTTGCTCGCATTGTTTGTCCCACGCATCTCACCTCTCCGTCGATGCTGTTGACGTTATTTCATTTCCCTGTTCCACTTTCTCATCATGAATTTTGTATAGTAACGCAATTTATTTAAATTACATCAGCATAATTGATGACATTTCATTTTGGTGCCATAAATTATTATGTTAAATTTGCGGTATGTCAGTGCCTTGTGTATGTATATGTGTGAACGCGCTGTTGGATTGTGATTGTAATATGTTCGAAATATGTTTTGGTCCCGAGACCAAGCCAAACCAAACTTATTCATCATGCATAAATTTGTGAATGGTTTTCTAACATTTCATTTCAATTCGGTGGCACTTTCATTTTTCGCCACCATCATTAGTGTGTGTGTGTGATGAGAGTTGGCGAGCATCCGCTCTTCTATGTCGTTAATTTTTTGTCTTGCACGCGTTCTATCCGGTTTTTTTGTGCAAATATAATTTGATTATAACAATTTTAGCCACAAATCGTACTAACTGCATATAACCACACACGGAAAGAGAGAAAGAGCGAGATTCTTCCGTCTCTTTACATTTTCGAAATAAAAATATTTACAAATTTTTCACGGCCAGCGAATAAATATTAACGAAATGAATTGCAGAGAGCGAAGCAAAATTGAAAAACGAGAGAAATGATATGATAAGACAGCGTATCATTTTTTATACCGAAAGCACAACGTGTTGAGTAAAATTGTGCAAAACGATAAAGTAAAATGCTGTGCTGGTGAATTCATAGATTTCTGTTTTTCACACATCAAAATTGTACATGATGAAATACACAATGCCTGACTAAAGAGAGTATAAAAAATAGAGTTAGAGGGGGAGAGAAATCATTTCATCGCTTGTGCCACATATGTTTGCGACGAGATTTCCGTGAATTTGTACGCCCCGGCTGTTCGGTGTGAAATATATTGAATGTGGCACAGATTCGATGACGAAAATGATTAAAGAGCTTCATAAATTTGATCGTTGTGACGAGTGTACGATTTGTAGAAGCGAAAAAAAGGTATACACAGTCGGTCACCATGATGAATTCGTATGAGACATTGGCAAATATTGCGGTTGGTAATACCGGGTGGGAAAAAGTTTATGGTTGAATAAGAGTTTTTGTTATTGTCAACTATTTCCGAAGTTGTTGGCATCCAGTTACAGATGAGATCGTTCACACGTGCTCGTGAATAAAATACAATAAAAATATTGGAGAGAAAAATTGTTTAATTTATTTTCAACTTTAAATTACGATTGATACTTATTTAATTTTTAATCCTTAATACTGCGCAAAAACCTAGACAAAACCCGGTTTGCATAATAAATAAACAGAGAATCCCATTTGAATATACTTTCGTTCGATTTTTTTTTTGCAATACGAAATAAAAATCTTTTTTTGCAAAATAAAGGAGTCTCACATGGCTCGAAGTGCACATAATAATAATATATGACTTTTGGCAATCAATTTGTGCTCGAGGCTCCCAAAATGAAACGGCCTATCTACTTTTGGCATCACTCATTCCAATTTTCGCATAATGAAATTATGATGAATTTTTCCATATTAATATCCAAACGACCTAGATTCATCATCAATATCGGAAACGAACACACAAAAAAACAACAAATGAGAACAAAAACGAGCTGCATGGATGAAACATGAATATTAATTACTTGTCAATTCCAATTTTGATGGCATTTCTCTACCCTTTATCGAATTCGGCATGCTCTATTTACCTTCTCCTTCACAATGCACAGCTTCACATTCGATATACTTTAGTTGAATCCTTTGAATTCCAAAATAATAAAACGAATATGAAAATCCAATAACTATATTATACACACATGCATGACGGGAGAGAAAAAATGGCAGTTCGGATAAAACAGCACATATCGATATCAGTACGCCAATTTAAATCACATCGTTGGGATTTTGATTCGATTATTATTAATTTTAATTGAAATTTTATCAATTTTTTCTTCGTTGTAGTTGTTTAAATCGGCTCTACAATTGATTGATACTTGTGTGTACTTGATGAATAAAAGTTTATTTACAGTATTTTATCTTTTTTTATTGCTACGATTCGAAATTGACAATTTTAAGAAATACATAGTGAATATTTAAAACACATTCCATTTAAAAATTAATTTCATCAAAAAATGAATAATTTTTTGTTCTCGGAAATCCGTGGTAGAGCTTTTGTTCACGAGTCCAAGTTACCAATGAACATTTTGCAGAAATTTTTGAGGTGATGGAATTATCCCTCTATTTTTTTGAATTGGACCACATAAATTTCCAATGGTGTTTGGTGTCATAGTCCTTTTTGAAACTAACTTCCACTTGCTTCTTGCATTGACAACTTACCAGATTTGACGATCTTTCCTTAAATATTAATGCTCGTTATCATAAGCTTTTGTATGCTGCTCTGTCAAAGTGTGTGTCAATATGTTTCATTAAAAAATTTCCAGCTTCGATTGCTTCAATGAAACAAAAAAAATCCACTTAGTTTTGACATTAAAGAGCATTCACGCTGATGCAATCAAGTCGAAAGTTTGTTATCACTCCATACATGAGTGCTGTAGATGAGCAATGGATAAAATCTTAAATATTATCGATGGATTCAATGTCATTTCATGCGAAAGAAATAAAAAAATGTTATTTGGAAGTCAGCGGGAGCGTATTATTAAGACTCGTTGTTGTGCACTCAATAGGACGGTGTAGGGATCATTGATGTCAGAAACAGGTGACAAAAAGTTATCTCAAGTGAATAATAATCTTTGCTTATCCAAGGATTCATCCTTGCGTCCTGACAGTTTTATGGATTATTTTACTTCAAGAGCCATTTTTTCGCTCTCCCACACTTTTATCGATTTATGTCTTTACAATTACTACATCATCTTTGATAGACAAATAATATTTTCATCCTTTTTTTTGTGTTCGTTTGCTTTGTGACAAAGCAAATGTGCGTGATGCTGGTGGTGTTGTCTTCGTTCGATTTTTTTTTGCCATCGCTGCAAACAGTGACATTTGATAGATTTATATGACGGCAACCATATTGATGGTGTACAACCAAAGCATTTATATATGCACAGTAAAGAGAGACAAATCTTTGTTGTTGTTCTTTTTTTCCATTTCTTCAGAGTAAACGTTTTTCTATGGCTTCGCGTTGTTCGGGAGCAAAAGATAACCACCCACACTTGATATTGCGAGATGTGAAAAAAAATATTTGCTCCCATAGATCGTTGACTGTTTGCTGGTACAGACTGTGTGTTTTTCTACAATTCAGAATATTGACAGTGATAAGAATGAAAATTGTGAAAAATGTGAGGGCAAGGCGAACAGAACAAAAAAGAGAGTAAACACCAAAAGAACGAGGTAATAATGACTTAATCCAAACGAAATGCGACGCTGATCCCACAGCAAAATCGTTTAGAGCGGTTATTATTGTCTTATGGCAAAGCCAATATCGCACAATTCAAATATGTGCAACGTGCATTGTGGCACTCAATCAAGCGTTTTCAAAACAATCCATTGGGATTATTTTGATTTCAATTCTTTGATTTCAATTCAGTGGCAAAATTGAAACTCACTAAAATGGGCTGCGGATCCTATTCAATTCGATAACAAATTGAGTTGAAACAATCACAGAAAATCGAAATCGTTGAAATTGAAAATCTCGATCCCGAAACGATGATTGTATAAATGCAACAATAGAGCCAGAGAAAAAAACGAGAAAATATTGTTTAAATAGAAATTGTGAAAAGAGCTGAAGTACCACATAACCGATAATCATTATTGTGATGATAAATAAACATGAATTCCACTGCGTATTGTTGTTATTATTATTGAGTTCGATGTGATGTTGATGCTACTCGTCGCAATATTGTCGAATGCAATTGAATCGCTGGTGACATGAGATTGATGGTGGCTCAACACACAAACTGTCTGATGTGAGATTCAAAATAGACTATGTAATACACAGTGTGTATGCCTGCGTGCGCTAGCGCACACTTGCACGGAAGCACACATTTTACCACATTGTCATTTCATCGATTCCCGTCATATTTATGTTGATTGGAATGTGAAACACCAACAATTGTGACTTTTTCATCGTGCTCCCATTTCAATCCCTTCCCATCAACTTTTATCGAACGCTTTCTTCCATTTAATGTGCACATGAATAACTGAAATGAATCATTAACTTTGTACGAAGCACAGATAATGATTTGGCTTTGGCATATCGTAAAATTTACACAAACGATGAGAAAGAAAAAAAGACCGACGACGACGACAACAACAACAACAGCAACATTATGCAGTCTGTGCAATTGAAAGTTTTCCTTCTGCTTTTTTTTGCTACAGATACCGAACAAAGAAAAAAATTGTGAAATAAACATACTTCAGACTCAAGTACAAATTCAGACGATCTAACTCTCAACATAATTTCTTTTAAATCTCATTAAAAATAGAATGCATCATCAATATAAAACGTCAATCGCGTTCGCAATCAACTTTTAATTCAATTTTGAAGCCGATTAAATCCCTCTTCGGATTTCTATCGTTTGCTTTCTCCCTCTCTCTCTGTCTCTCTGTTTTCTCCATTGCATTCGCTATTTCCAATTCATTCTTTGTTTGTTTATGTCATTATGCTTTTGTACTTGCCACTTCATGGCGTATCGAATGATAGGGAGATGGAGAAAATCGAAAATAAAATAACAAGAAAATAAATACACTCGATGTTTCAATGTTCAAGTCGTTGCTTTATTAATTTTCAGTGACCGATCAAGTGATTTCATTCAAACAAGCAATTATCACAGGCACAATTCAAGCATTCCATTATCAGATCATTATGTATTTTTCAGTGGCCTTTTTTATGTCCCCACTTTTTGAATTTTTTATCGCCTCCTTTCTTTCCATGTTCAGACTTTTCGCCGTGCTCGCCTTCTTCACCCTTCTTTGAATGCCAACCTGAAAATTTCACAATCATAATAGATTAATTTCAAGCTGCATTCTTATATGCGCACAATTCAATATTTGCTTGCCTTTTTCTTCTTCATCATGATGGCCCTTCTTTCCGCCACCCTTTTTGCCGCCCTTCTTCTCCTCATGGTAGCTGTAACGAGGAACGTGTAATTGACGTTAGTAAGAAAAATTACACTGCAACTACAAAAATGTATTAAAAAGCTTAAGCACTCGGAGCTAGTAAAATAATTGATGTTGAAAACGATTTTTTTTCACTCTAAAAGATAGAAACTAGTGCTTTTGGCATTTGACTCAGATTTATGTAAAACAACATTTGCTCTCACCCTTTTTTATGTCCTTTCTTGAATGAACCACCCTTCTTGGATCCAAATTCCTCGTGGAATTTACCTATGATTGTCATATTACTATGAATCAACATAAATTATTATTTTATTTGATTTTATTCGATTTTACCATCTTTTTCATCGTATGCTTCGTCGCCATCTTCGTCAAAGAACTTTGTCTTTTTCTCGTCTTCTTCGCCTTTATGTATTACATGGTGACCTTTGTCGGAATGGCCCTTCTTGAAACTTCCTAAATTATTAAATCATTTGAACAATAATAATGATTATTCGTTCGTAAATTTTTAACGCACGTTACACATTACCTTCTTCATGGAATTTCTTCCCCTTTTCACCTTTATCACCCTATAAGACAATTTGTAAATAATTAAGTGACATTGAAAAATACAACATTATTTAACTATTCCAATGTTGATTAATAATTAATTACTTATTAGATCAATATTAAAGTAGGTAAATTTGGGGAGTACCGTCAGATAGAGCTATCCGCTTATTCATCTCCATACAATAGATTTATCAGATAAATGGTTGAAATGCATGATAATATTAGTACTCACCTCTTCGTGCTTATGATGGTACCCTTCATCGTCGTGATATTTCTTCTTATGCCCCTTCTTTTCTTCATATTCTCCCTATAGATGAATCAAAAAGACATTTGTTTATGCACATGAAACATTATCAAACCATTCAAATTTTCACAATACCTCGTCTTCTTCTTTGTCGTGATGACCTTTTTCACCTTTCTCTTCTCTGCAAAATTAAAATTTAACATTTATTAAAAACGATCAACTAGTTTCAAAACGAGCTATACAGTGGTCCCAAACGTTTATATATAATTGAATAGATTGTGTTTTGGACACTTGGAGTAAATATTTCAGTGAACTACACAGCCAATTAGAAATCACTAAACTAAAAGCTTATTTATTTACAAAAATCCATGGAATGAACAATAAGAACGTAGCTTTGACTAGGCTTGTCCAATTTTGTTTTTTACTTTTTTCAAATGCCATTATTCAACATTTTTGTGGTGTTTTGCATCCATATTTTGAGTTTTTGAAGGAAAAATTCGCAAAATTATGGAATTTACAAGAAAAAATATTAATGAGACACAAAATTGGACGAGTCTTTATCGATTAAGTTATAAATTGATGGTATTTTGATTTGATGAGGTATCACTATAATAATAAAAAAAACCTTAAACTTTTTAAACGAAAATTTATCGCAAAATTGATTCTTCGAACGTTCATTTTCCATCATACTTTAAAATATTTCAATTGATTCTAATCCAAATGTTTTCCTCAAGTTTTATAATTTACTTTACCCGTGCTTTGATTCGTATCCTTTCTCGCCTTTTTCTCCCTTTTCCGACTCCTCTTCGCCAAAGAAATCTTCTTCATCGCCTTTTTCCCATGCTTCATGTTTACCGGATGCAGCTACTTCTAAGTCATGATCCATCACTTTGAATGCATTTGCATGCCACAAACTCACGCCAAGCAATAAAAGATTGGCAAACATAAACAAAAACATTCGATTCCTCATATTAAGAACTCAATTCCACATGCACTTAATGTATAATAAACGTTTTAAAGCACAAACACACACACCGTGTTCACAAAATTCACATCAATGCAATGCAATGCGATGTATACGTTGCAGAGGTTTCTCACAAACTGAATTCTGCTGATGCTGAATGCTTTGCATTTATAGGTTTTCATTCGAGCGAATCAATGGTTTATGCATGAAATCAAGTAATATTGAATAAATTAACATGAAATTTGCCAATGATCAAACCTATTATATTAGTTTCATTGACATTCGCCAAGAATTTCTATGAGTTGCACATTGCCTTACTAAAATTAGAAAATTTGCTCTGTTCATAGCTGAAAACACAATAAACCGATGCACATTGAAGGTTAAGCCAAAAACAACGAAAGAAAAACCATTGAATGTGTGTAACGAGAACAACATGACCAAAAAAAAATTCAATATGCTATTGAACGAGTGACACAATACAATAAATTACGTGAACGTCACACCATATTATGCGATATCTTTTGAATTTCATGAATAAAGTGTATCGCGCGTACACGGCTCTCGCTTTCAACATTACCATAGCGCCGAAAAAAATCAATGAAGCGTTGAAGACAAAACACAACTTGACGAAGAAAAAAAAAACAACATCAACATTGCGTACTTCTTATTATTGAGTTGTGTGTATGTTTTTTTTGTTGGTTGTCACTTTAGCTCTTGTAAAATTCGGGTGAAACAATGAATACCAAATTACAATTGGATCAAATACATGATACTCGCTACGGTCTCTCTTTCTCTGAGTTTTTTTTTAATTCTTGTTGTGTATCGGCGGCTTTGTCGGTTCTTTTCTCGTGTGAAAAGCCAATGGTTCGTGTGCGTGCTTGTTCGACAAAATTTATGAATGACAAAGTTAAACAATGTTGCTTTATTCAACGAATTAAAGTCAATCGAGAAAAAAACAGAGATTTTTCTGATCAACAATTTTTTTCGGCAAAGAAATGGGCTTGAGGTCAAAATCACTTGATTTATTGGCTTATGCATTGAAATTCTGTTTTTTTTTTTTCATTATTTTCATGTGAAATACAAAGTATCTATGATTAAAATGGGTTTTTCTCTCTCACCGAATAGAATCCGCGAAATTGGCCCAATTTGAAAATGGATTTCTACAAAAGAGAGATAGAGAATGCGGTCGAATACGTGCCGTTTGCTACGTTTTGTGTGTGTATGAACTTGAATTGTTTCGATTCTCCATTCGAAAAGTATCCATTGAAATGTGGTTTTGTTTGTTGGTGGCAAACAATAAAATGAAATGGCTAGACTCGTGCATTTACTTTTTCGAGTTTGAAAAGTAACAAATAAACAATGTCTTTATTTGATATCGAAAAAGGCAACAAATTTCGAAGATATCAGATAACATTGAATACATACACATGCCGAAGATAACATGGTCGAACTTTTGTAAAATATATTTTAATGCAATTGGTTCACTGATTTTCTACACAGTGACAGTGCAATTGAATGACATCATAAACAGATCGAGAGAGAGAGAGAGAGCAAGAACGGTGAAATATAGAGAGTGTGGCAGAGTGAAAGAGGCACACGTTGCCATAACATCTGCGAAATGAGATACATTGCATCGGAGATGACGTGCGCATCCAGTTTGAAGTAACATTTGAATTTTTTCGGAGAATTTATAGTGGTTCGAAATTTAAGATTTATTGTTAAACTAACTGTGAAATGAAGACAATGGCAAAAGCAATGCGATACCAACGCTATATCGAAAATTTGAATTTAATTTTCCATGGGTGGAAAACTACGCTTTGTGGGTTTCATTGCGGTTTTCATTGAACGGAACCAAACTAAACGAAGAAATGAGAAACCAACACACTGCAGACGAAAAGAGCGAGACCAAGAGAGAGAGAGAGAGAAATAGAAAAAAATGACGTAATAAATCTTTCATTTCAATTAAGCTTAAGACATAAGATACATTTCCACAAGAAAGTACACCGCACTTCAAATGCATTTTCACAATGATATATAACGTATGAATCCTTGCCAAACAACACTTTTTAAAAGAAAACAAAAATCTAATGCCGTACGTCTGTCGGTGGCAGATGTTTCCCAAGAAGAGTATCTAGATTTTTGTGGTTCGTAATCTTTTGGCAATTACATGGTGAGAGCAGCAACAATTCAAATCTATTTGCAGCCACACAACAAATGCACACTTATCCACATTGAATTAAACCTGATCAAATTCGTTGAAGTTGGTGATTGTTTTTTTTTCGGCCACTGTAAACGTTATATATTTTGATCGAGTTAAATATATTTTATGGATGATTTTAAATTTTACATAAACTCTCGTTACCACTATGAGGCAATGTTCAACTTTGAGGCAATAGATGAAAAACATTTGAACTCATGGATTCAGTATCATATGCATGAATTTATCCATGAATATTGTAACATTTGATTTGTGTTCTATTTTCATTTTTCGCTTGCTGCTTCTAGTGGTTTTTTCTTTCTTTGCAATGGAATTGAAGTAAACTTTTCGATAAATTTTTACACAGTGAATGCCAACACTTCAAAGATTGTTTTAAGTTCTTTAATTCGTTTTCTCGGCGCTTGTTTGCCATCGTCACCGCCACCGCTACCATCATCATCATGAATTATTCTTTGCAAAACCAATATTTATTGCTTTGATGACATTTTTCTCACCGCATTTTCAACGCCATTTGTTACACTCGGAAAACTGTAGCCACGCAACTCTTTATGACGATGCAAGAGAGAAGAAAAAAAAACATAAGTGAGAAGCATCTCTCTACCTTCAATGGTATATTTCACAGATGGTTTCTGGCATCTCACAAATGTGCATAGCTCATTTCCAAGCTGTTCGTTTTTTTCTTATTTAAATAACTTTCTGTGTTTTTTCTCTCTCTCACACAAAGTGTTGATGCATTTGCAAATAGATGTGCCGGCGCATATTTGAAACAAAAATTATTTGTTTTGAAAACTAAAATTGTTGAAACCAGTTCGAAGCGTAGCTATTTCGAATGTTGTATTTTAATGAATTATGGCTGAATTGAGCATTGCATTGTGTGGTTGTTTCATTTCATGTTTGGTTTTCGAGTATTGGAAACAATCTTTCATTTGGTCATATCGATTGGTTGGTGTTGTTTTACCAGCCCAAGCAAATCTAGAATTTCAATAGTTAAATATGGTTTTCATCTAAAAAGAACGAATTTTGAATGAAACATACAAACACCCACTTGAGTCGGGCACAAGACGACAGAGGATTTACACTCTTTAGAATGTTCCGTAATATAAATAGCATGCAAGATTGCAAGTGCAATTGCATATGAATTATGCCATAAGTTTTTACTATGCTAACAAAATTAAACACTCTATGTCGAAAGCACACAAACGGCTATATCCACACAATGGAAATGATGAGTGAGCGGGAGATGTGTGTGTGTGAGCAGTGCTCACTGAGCACACGGGTAAAGGTTTCTGGTTCACATAATCAAAATGTTGATAGAAAATAGAGCAAAGAGCAAATTGTAATGCAATGGTATGCAAAACAAAGGTGCAATGCAAACGCGGTTTTAAATATGCATATAATGTTTGGCTTGAATAGCATTTCGATTGCCGATCGACAAAGTGGATGCCGTTTAAGTGGCTCTGCATCCAATTGCACATACGAAAATCGTATCGCATTGATAGAACACCGACCGATATATACAATAGAGAGTGCATTTACAATCATCGCATAACGAAAGAGAAAAGATGAGCTATATTCCCCATTAATTGGCAATCGATTTTTCCGTACGAGCTTTGACATACGCGCTTGGACGTGCTGCTTGTATACTATACTAAACAATATTTATACATAAACAGTCGCGAGCAACATTGGAATTCATTGCGAATGCGCTCAATGAATGCCTAATTGAGAAAATGTATATATTGCAGTCGATACGGGCGCGATTTGTGTCGAATGGTGAGAGTGAAACATTCACAATTGTAACTTTAGGCAAACGATGTTGAAACTTTACATTAAAACTTTTACATTTATGCAAAGTGTATGTCGGTGTATCGGTCCATGGTGCATTGAATGCTGTTTGTCAATCGTTTTGTTGACGGACCTCAAAATGCCAATCTTCAATGTTGTTTATCAAATAATCGTCAATGAGAGTTGCGATGGCACATCGTTTCTCAATTTTCAATCATGGATGGAATGGCATGCACAAACGATGCATACCAATAATCTCAACAACATTTTGGTAAATTATTGAATTCTGAAACATCACTAGTGGCACGGATAATATATAACCCAAATTGAAATGTATCGTGTGTGCAATAATATGCAATTATAAGGTAAATTTGTTGGTACACAATTTCATTACTTTGATCGAAGATGATGCAAGAGGACAGTGTGAGAGAGAGAGGGAGATAGAGAGAAGGAAAGATAAGGGAGAGGTAGCGAATGAGAGCAGTACTCAAAAATGCACATTTATAAAAGCCGAGTGTTCGAACATCATCTGCTTGACATACACATCAGCGCTATGTGCGCATGAGAGCTTCGTTTGAAATACATTGAAATCTTTGATTCGATGAACACTTAAACAAAAGCAAACAAATTGAAAGTCGAGAAAATCGTTTCGTTTACACATCTGCATTTATACATGTATGTGCATTTTGTATTTTGAATATTTGCTTCTGAATGCATCAAAAGTTTAATTCCTTGAAAGACCAATTAACTTCATTTATTTGAGTGTTGCTTGTTACTGCTTCACTTGTTTCATCTGCATTAAAATTGAAAATAGAAAGGCGAATGGTAAAAGCAACCACAACCAACCGATATATAATTGAATGATGAATGACGCTGAAAGGGACTATTGATGTTCCCTAATCAAATCGAATTTCATTCAGTTGGTCACATAAGTCGGCCATGCTGCAATTTGTTGCAATTCTCAGGTGTTACGATCAAAATACGTATCAAACACATTCACTTCGTTTCGAAAAATGCAATTGAAATATGCATACGTTCATATATGACAGTATAGAACACACACACATACATGGATGCCGACATTGAAGGAGATTCGCCTATAGAATGGTGCACATATTC